AGTCTCGTTATAACCTAATTCAATTTTTACTGAACGCAAAATAAAATGAATATTCCATAGGTTCTCATTAAAATAGTAGAACTGACACAGTTGAGAACAATAATAAAAACAAGTCCTACAATTGGCAAAACTCATATTAGACGATACTGTCAATTAGCTGCCAAGAAAATGAAATCGTTACAATGGCGAACGGAAATATTTCTGATGTAAGGCATTCGTTTGATAGAAACTGTTCAGTGTTAGTGAATGCATTGAACTGTGATCATTCAGTTCATTCAGCTACATCAAATTTATTTTTATTTAATCAGCAAATCAAACTCGTTACGAGTTTGATTTGCTGATTAAATAAAAATAAATAAAATATCAGCAAACATAAACTCATCAAATTTAATGGAAATCAAATGTATCACACATTCAATTTGAGTATCTTACAGAAAGACAATTTTTAACGCAGCAACTGTTGGTATGTTTGAGTATCTTACTAAACATTGAAAAAAATTTCCTTCAACATAGCTCAGAATTGAGGATTGAGAAAAACTGTTGAACAAAGCAACATATGTCAATAAGCGCTAGTTCGAGTGGAGATGATCTTAAAATATAAGTCAGGGTCTATATAAGGAAGTAAAAATTGAGGCTAGGCAACTTCACAGATTGATCTGCATTACATGAGTGGTAACAGATTAAAACAACTAACTACATTTATCGATAACTGATAATTTCTTGAATAGCTTAAACAACCTTCCAGCTCCAGTAAATGAATGCATGCACGCAAATGCTGATCTGTGCGTGACAGTAGAAGAAGAAAGTGAAATGACCACTCGACATTTTTAATAGAGTGAAAAAAACGAAACTATGAACAGTACGGAGCTCAACTGAAAGGTAATAGACAGATGACTACATAATACTTCGTCGGATTCATTCTCGGAAACCCAATATACGTGAAGTCTCAATTTTATTATTCAGGACAATTCCTTATCCTCGTTCTTATGCAGCTGCATCAAGATAAGTTCAGAAAAGAGTTGTGTGAAATACAGATGAGTGGAAGAAATGATACTCTCTTGCTCCAACTGACTGAAGTGATAAGATTCAACAATTGAAGGGTTGGCAGAAAGAAAGATACATAAAAGATTTCATTAAAGCAGATTCAAAATCTAAATGAGAGTGATTAGACTCCATCACAAGAAAGGAGGAGGTCCAGCAAATATACATTATACGACTCACTCAGTTTCTTCCGCTTGATGCCATATCCACACTTCTGGAAATAAACGACGAACTTTCGTTTCCGGAACAGTGAAAGCGCCTGAACTAGCTGGGGCGGCATAACCAGTTGATATGTGCGCTTCATTTGGCATCGCTGCTGCATCAAGGAGCTCCTCATCAAGAATCATCACTGAACGATTAACTGTTCAGATGGCTTTTCTTGCTGCACTGGCAGCGTTTGCTGTGCAATTTCTACTGTGAACGATTTTCAGTGCTTTAACAAGAACAACTATTGGGAGCATTCTCAATTTTCAGACACCAAATGTCATATACAATAAGAGAAATGAAGGCGGGCTCATAGTTGCGATCAGATCGCTCGTCCCAAAAGCGCGAAGGAGAATAATAAACGACCATTCCCAGAAGTTGAGCCTTCCACAGTCTCATTAATTGAGATTGTAATATATTTGAACTCATCTTGGCTGAAACTTATCCATACATCGCCTAGGGCCTTAACTGAATCTTGTTTACGCTCAGCTCATTGCCACGTTTTGCTTCTCAAGATTGATAGTGACATCTAATCGAAACCGAACGATTTCTGTTTTGAAATGAGATCCAACTACAGAGCAGCACTGGTTGGCTGCTCTTCATATCAGCTCAAGTTTACCACATTAAAAAACAAGCCACTGTTCACCTCTCAGGTTCAACAAAACTAATACATTCGCTTATTATGTACATTCAATACCTCAAAATTGAACTCGAATCGCCAAATATATACTTTACCCACAATCAGAATTCAAAGCTGAATGTGGAGAATGCTAAAGCAAGAACTGCCAGCAACTTTTACAAAAATGACTTGCATTCATGCTCAGGAGAAGAATGGAAAGGCCGATGTGATTTTTTTGAATGTCACTGAAATATGCGGTAGTTTTGATTGTCCATAATATTATTACTTAATTTCATCACCCTAACATGCACCATCTTCGTTCATGTACCCAATAAAACAAGTCTCCGCATCAGTTATGACAACTCTTAGCTGTTAAGAAGAAACTAATATGAAAAATCCAATGACACCATTAAAAGAATCAGGACAAATATAACATTGAGACATGCATCAAGTCATTGAGACAGTTACGTCCAAATAGTAATCTCAGTAAGCGTAAACTGACCGTAACTGATGAAAAGGTACGAGTAAGAGCTTACACCCTCTGAACTTTTTCTAAGTTGGAACCTGTTAGAAAAGAATACTTTCGATACTATCTATTGAACAAATGGAAACTTCGAATGATTACATCGATTCAGTGCTGACTGATGCCCTTATCGATCGGATATGATGGATAAAACAGCTTCATGCAAAGGAGAAGTGGATAATAGTGCAAATAACGTGAACTTGAAATGAGTTGAAAAATGTGTACTAACGTGAGAAACTTGACAACGAAATACTGAAATCATCTGATGAATGCTCTAGAACGCGCAAAAATATTAGCTTTCGGGAACTGAATGAGAATGCAGCCAATTTTATGGTCAAAGAAGTGGCCCTCACTTTTTTGAAGAGAGTTCGATCCATATCCAAGACTCAGGAAAATTCTTCCGAACTTTCGTCACATCGGCCGCAGTGTCACTTTTGACTTCAGGCGCAATTCTATCAGTTTCAACATCTGCGGCAAATCCACCGCCAGTAGGTGGTGGTGCAGGATGCGCTGCGAAAAATGCGTTTGACATCACTGAAAGAAGTCTTCGATTTCATTGATACAAACAATCGATGGTGGGCCTTTGTTCGCTTTTTCTAAAAGTGAAAAGAAGAAATGGTAGATAATCTTTATTTGCAAATGCAATTTGTGAGTGCTGAGTTGTGATTTTGCGATATCGTGTAGATGTAAGAAAATAGATCTGTCAAGCATTAGTCATGTGGTTTAGCACAGAAAGTTTAAGCTTCCTCGAAGAGATCGTTTTGGAAAGTTTAATATAAGCAGACAGAATCAAAAGTTTGCACCAATCTGCAATTGTGAGTTTCAATTGCAGATTGGTGCAAACTCGTTCAATATGCACATAATGGGGTCAATCAGGAGATGATAATTCTCAGTGTAAATATGGAATAGTTTCTGTTTTTTATACGTTGATATGAAAGAGTATTTCTGTGCGAACGCGGTAACTTCACATTCCTTGGCCCAGTCCCATCTCATCCCTGTCATCAGTCGCATGATGCGAAAGTTGAGCTTGAAGTTGGTTTATGTAATCATTAACTCTTCTTCGGCACGAATGGGGTCCATGATTGGACTTGGAGTCAAGAAGTTCAAGTCAGATGATAAACAATTCGAAACCTTCCAGAATATTGTTTTCAAATTGGATATGTACATCCGGTAATTGTGCTCAGCACTATATTGAAATATCGAATAACGAAAAGTTATGGCGCAATTATAAGAAGAAATGGAAATGAAGAGAAAAAAGCAGTGAGGATTTTAGCAGTAACAAATAAAATAGATTCACGATAAAAAGGTTATTAGTGATTTCGAATAAGAATGCAACAAACTGCAAATGTTTGTGTGAAGCAATAAATACAAAATCGCATGCAAATTGTATTAAAATTAAAATGTAAAGTATGAAATATGCATTAATTGTGTGCATCATTCTACCATTATATGAGGCATGCAACGTTACACGAACAAACTTCGCTCTTAGAGACTCAACTTTGCCCGCCTTCTTCTCTCTTTTTTTATTCAGCAATTCGTCAGAATTGTTTAAAACAACAAAAAGTATATTTGACTGAAAGTTTGTTCAAAATAATTTTCAATCACTGAACAATACTAGAATTTTCAGTGAATTAGGAAGGATTCAATAGCAAAGAAAAAAGAAAATTTTAAGTAGTTGGTCGTGAAAAGATTAAACGTACTGGTTGGTTCAGGTTCACGATAGAGATATGCATCAGTAAGCACAACAAGACCAGCATTCTGAAATCATTGAAGTAAAATGAAACGTTTCATTAGCAGCCCTTCACTCGAACTCGGTAGGAGCAGAAGAGCCGGAAATTTGGTGGAAGGAGTATGAATAAGTTGCAAAAAGTGATACTGACAGAGCCATTATCGAAGTTTTCATTGAAATTGCAAATAAAAAAGCATTTTTATAAAATATCAAGTTCGAAGTGAAAAATCAATATTCAATAAGAGATAGCAAATGTGAACCTCAAATATACTGGCAGCATCTTTGCCGCCAATCCCCCAGAATGGATACCAGATCGACCGACGTCGTCTCGAAAATGCTGCTTCCCATGGTCGATATGACCCAGACGGATTCGTCGTATCGTACAGTTCAATATCTTGTTCAACCTGAAATCACTGTCTTGCATCAATCACCTGTAAATTCACGAGATGGACTCAAGTCAAATGATTCAAAATCTATAAATGATCAACAAACCAGTTCTCTAGTAATATCGTTGCCTGATTTCAGCAGCAATACACTTTGATCAACAGCCAGTAATGCGACCGTCGATTCTGGATCAGCCTTGGCGATTAATTTTATTCTATCGCCTGGTGCTGCAGTGCTACGATCGAGTGATAAAGATACCTAAAATGCAAATCATCACACAAACTGAATTTGTTATTTGCAATTAACTTGCTATAAGTCAATTAATTATGAAGTTGAATAAAAGTGAGATTATCAAATGACGATAAAATTATGCACATTGTTGCGGAAAAGTCCGTCCACTTTGAAGTCAGTTGCATCAACCAAGATTTCCTGATTGGTCGGCTTAACTGCATACACTACTAATCGCGCCTTTGGTGCCATTTGGGGGGTGGCCGTAAATGTGACTGTCGTCAGATCACCATTCACGGCTAATTCTTGTGATAATACCACTGAGCCTCTAGCCATCACCTGTGGTTAAGATTAATTACGTGAACTGTTTCATTTGAGGAGTAGCCGTAAATGAGCAAAATCAGCTGTATAAGAAGGAAGTTTCAGATGGAAGTATAATTAAGATAAGTTGTTGCAAACGTAATACCATATAGGTGATGAACGATAGTGACTCGGTGGCCTTCACAGTGAATGAGAGTGTTTTGCCAGCATCAATAACTCCTTCGTGATCAGCAAGTAGCTGCACAAAACTGTTCGATGGACTTTTACTCGCTTCAACATACAAGCTTGAGTATATCATGGCATTCGTAAAATTATCTTTCCCCAAACGATCATAATGAGCCTATAAAAGTTAATCGAACGATATAGTAGTTATCAGGAAGCTTGAAATTCCAATAATCGTTATTGAATTCAATTCATTACAACAGTAAAAATGAAATCTTCGAAAGAAATAATTTAGAAGCAGAAAGTTGGAAGAATATTCCATAAATAATATTAATTTATCTATATAATTAGTAACGAAAAAAACGACCTCGATTCTTGCACTAGTACAGTTCAATGGTGGCTGAAGATTCAAAACAGCTGTACCGTGAGCATCTAGAACGAGAATTTTCACTTCTTTATCCTCGTGTTGTGTTGGTGCATCTGGCACGTATGGATAATTGTAGTAGGTTGTGACCTTAAACGAGTCCGTATTCTTGAAGATGGTCTAATTGTGTTTCATATGGCAAGAATTGTTCAGGCAAGCACAACAACGAAAAAGGAAATGCAATCCCATAGATTGGCACCTACCTGAACTCGCTTTGGCACGGTCGCTTTAACTGGAGTATTGTCCATCTGTTTGAGCGTTACAACCACATTATAATTAAGTCCTGGTTTGAATGTATCACCTTGCTTTTCAACATCTAATTTCACATCATGTCTGTATGCAACTACCTAAAAGTTGAAAAAATTCACTCAAATTTCTCAGTAATCCTCTCTCGACGAAACGTTTTTTCAATATAAGAAAATTTGCAAGCACCTCTTAATGAAAAATGTTTTTATGGAAGTCCAATATTGGAACAGTAAAAACAATTTTTTGAATTCTTAGAAACAATACAAAAACGTATTATGTGCACCGGATGAGCACTTATAACGTGAACCGCTAGCGAGCACCTCTCAATGAAAGATTGCTGGATATAGACTAAATGAGCATCTTAAAATGAACCTGCGTAGAACTATTCCTTTGTATACCAGTGAGATCTTCAGTGACACTAGCTGCAATATGAATGAAACTTCCACCATAATCAGTGATTAATTTATGCTTCTTCAGTTCCTCGTTCGAGAACACAACTGTTGTTTCACCCATGTTGTTTAGTTTCACAGTACGCTCGATCAGTGAATCTTGTTCTCCCTAAATTCATCAACACTCTCCTCATATCATTGTCAAAAAATCGTATTCAAAATATAGTCGATATATGAAGAAAGATGAAGATACAACTAAATAGCACCTGTGCACTCGATCCGTCACTGCTCAAGTGGTAGCTATGCCACCGATGCCACGGCAATTCCAACGTCACTTTCGCCTTACCAGAAACCCCCTTCCCATAAGTATACCTTAATGATTGCCGTTACTTAGCAGTTCAATATGAGCAATCAAGGACAGGTTCAGTTCACATTGATAAAACTATGCAAATTAGCTATACTGAGAAAAGTTAACCGTACTTTGCTTCGACCAAGACGCTGAGATCATCAGCAACCGTTATGAAACTCGGTGTTTTGATATTCACTTCAAATTTGGGTAGAACATATTTTTCAACGGTGAACGTATCCTCAAAGTTGATTCCACTTTTAGTTTCCACTAAAATTTGCCAATCACCCAGAGGAGGTTCATTTGCCAATTCGAGCTCACCCGAGAGAATGCCTGCAATTGTTCAATTGCTTCATTCGAAGTATGCTCCCAGTTTGAAGGAAGATTTCAACCTGTTCTTTATACCTAGAAGTTAATCACATATTCTGTTCAGTTTTACTTGTTTCCCTTTTACAATGTTCCTTCAACTTTCAGTTCCATCAATTTTTAAGCACTGAACCTCCTGCAGCATTTCGCATTCTCATAATTTTAATTTCCACTTCTTTGGCTTGATCAACTCCTCTTACCAATGCAACCGAGTACATTCCGAAAATTTTCGATCATGTTCTGCTGCACGACATTGATGGTACGTGAGCGGAATGGAGAAATATTAAAAGCAGATGTATTTAACAAATTTTACATTTAATCTATAAAAAGTCTTTACGAATAACATTTGAACAGTCAAACCTTTCGAAAGCGATTCATCAATTCGTTGACTAATAATATTTTGATTTGGATCGCGAATTTTGACTGATATAGTTTCAGCATAAGGTTTCAGGTCGGGGTTGACGACAACCACTCGATATCGTACTAGAATAACTATAGCATTCAGCAAAACAAACACTTCATGAACTATTCATCTCAAGTATCTTATCCATTTTTTAAAATTCAAAGTATTTCTTCAAATCTTTATGGAATGCAAATCATTTTCCAGTTGATTAAAACCGATTGTTTTCGATCAGCAGTTGATCAGTTTTTCTGTAAAACCTGTTCAAGGTTAATCCGTATTGTTCAATGAATATTTATAATTCATTTAAGAGCGAATAAGAAAGTCAATCAAGCTTGAAAACATAGAACATAAAGTGTGACCAGTAGAAGACGGTTTGTAGATGGCTTTATCCGTTTGAACGAAAATAGATACTGATCTCGCATCAAATCCCACTTCTTTTTCTTGTTCAAATAAAATTTTTGATCCTATCGTTTCGCCACGAACATAAACTTTATAGTTGGATCCTGGTAGCAAACTATCCGAAGACAACTCCTCGATCGTTATGGTTTGTGGAACTCCTCAAAAATTTTAAAAATGTGATAGTCGCTACAAATGCCATCCTTACGGAGCTTGTCTCTGCACTTAATCTGGATTTGTCGGTTTTTGAAAGATGACACTTTCCTGCGTTCAATTGAGTGATTTTAAAAAACACCCTCCAGCAAGTTCACGTGAGGCCTTTATCATAATCTAATATCTTTATCATCTTCATCAAGCCTTTATCTTGCTTGTAAATCTAATACATCTGATATCCTATCAGTTTGATAATAAAAAGTTTGGTTTAACTATGCACTGTAATGTTCTTCATTTGCAGTACGTGACAAAACTGTGATGGCTTGAACAATTCATGATTTGTGACGAAATAAAGAATGCGGAATTGGAAATCGCCCATTGTTCGACAAAAAATCGATGTTAGTCATCTTCAGCAAAAAAGGCAAATGCTTCTTTATGAACAAATTTCAAAAATAACTGGAACATTAAATAAACCTGTTTTAACATTGTTCACAACTCGTGCGCCAATTGTATCATTTTGTGTAGTCCTTATTTCAACTCTAACGATATGCTCACTTTCAGAACTTTTCAATATATTCACCGATACGGCATACGGCAAGTTTGGCCGAACTATACGTGGAGCAATAATCAAATATGTACCAGCGCTGAAATATTCAATGACGAGTTTTTTTTTGGACAAGTAATTGATGAATAATTCTGAAAACATGAATTCCAAATCTCTGACAGCACGCTATTCAGAAGGGTTGAAAATGGTTACTTGCTCTTACGATATTACAAGAAGAATCTGCTAATTAACTAGCAATAAAACGGAAAAAGTGAACTGACTGAACATTGAAGGATACCGAAAACGTTTGCTAATGATTCGAAACTGTATGCATTTTACGAGTGAGCGTTTCAGGATGGTTAATGGACAACTTTTACAATTTGTTCGAGCAATAGGTCAGAACCAAGGCAAATATTTCAGAACAACGCCATTTTCTTTCTGCGATACACCGCTAAACAGAAATGACAACTAAACAAGAAACTGACTAAGTCTTTTCGGGTGGCTTTGTGGTCGTTCCAAATGCAGCGACAACTAATGGTGCATACGTGACAGCAGCTAGAGTAGTCGCTTGACCAAAAATATCACTTGCATTGCATGTGACAAAAACAGCGAACATGCAAAACACATGATGAAGCATGCTGACTTGACGATGACGATTAGCACTGCCAAGCATCTGTTGCGGTATCCGCCTTCACTGAACTTGCACAATGTGTCCCTTTATATTGAAACTGTAACAATTAAGTACTGAACATAGTTTTCTTTCGATCAAAATACTGAAAAGTATGATTGAGTAAACAAAATCTTTCAGATATTTAAAAGAATGAAGCGTCGAACAAAAGAGGTGAAATCAGATTTTATTACGACATTTTTTCGAATGCAAATAATGAAATAATATCGGATGTGAAAAAGGTCAACTGAAATCTTCCTGCCCTCTACAAAATAACGCTCTGAAGGAGACAGCATTTTCGTAAACATCGAAAAGATTTAACCGAACACAATCAGTATTAGGTTGCGAAATCAAGATGTACATTCAATACAAAAACTCGTTCTCCTTGTGGTTTTCTTTTTCCTACATCATGTTCAAATTTATGTGAAAGTCAATGCAAATGAGATATACTCAAACAGCAGTAGGCCAACAAAGGCGCGTTGCCCTTTCGTGAGAAAATGATGCAAAATATAAGCAATTTGGCTTGCTTTATTGTGTTTTGTGAAACTCGACGAACACATGAGGTCATCATTTGAATTGACGCCACTTGTTTTCATTAAGGTAATTTGAACATGTTCTTCGAGCTTTCCACATAAAACGGCTGAGTGCTACTTAGTGGGTTCAGGATACATAAGAGAGTGTGAAAGGCGATTTAGAAAGGAAAGAATGAAATGACAAATGAATGAATGCAGAAGTAGTTAAAGTGATCCATATAAAAATTTTTTTCACAAATGTTCAGGCGATGATACATGATAAAAAAATTAATGATATTTGGTGAGAACAGCAGTGGAATGAGAAGCAGTGAATATTTTGTTAGATAGATGGACTAAAGTTGAACTCAGTTGAGTAGGGAGTGTGCAATTTCCAGTTCCGAGCTACTGGACGGACCAAGATTTGCTGGGAGGACTAAGACTAGGCGGGCTGGGTCAAAACTTGTCGGGCTGGGTCGAGCCAAGATTTGCAGGGCAAGACCAAGCATTGCCGAGTAGAGCCAAGATTTGTCAGACCGGGCCAAAAACTGCTAGGTTAAAGTAACTTGCGCCCAGCGAATTTTCGCCCGGCTCGGCTTGACAATTGCTAGTCGGGCCAGGCAAATCGTGACTTGGTCCTATGACCTAGGATTGGCAGTTCCACAGTTCAAGTCGAGGATGTTCTGCCTTGAGCAAGGGGAACTTGTAGCTTTTATAGGGCGGGTGATTCAATGCAAGGCGGTTAGGTACTTGACGCAGCTGCAGATGAAAAATTGAACGAATGAATAAATTCAAGCAAACTAATGCTGATGAATCACGATTTTGATTGATAATAACCGACAGCAGTAATGTATAATACGTCTGTGTGTTTCAAGCATGTTTTAAAATGTAACATCAAACATCTGAATTTACAACACAGTACACATCGTCCATTCAAAAATACTTGTTTCATCAGTTCGGTTTAATATATTGAGTTTTGTGCACTTAAGCCATATATATATATATATATATATATATATATATATATATATATATATATA